TGTGTGTGTGTGTGTGTGTGTGTGTGTGTGTGTGTGTGTGTGTGTGTGTGTATAATTGCGTACACATGGATGGTTGTTTTCTATAGCTGAAAAATCTACGGAACGTAGAACAATAAAAAAAAAAGTTACTGAAGGTAGATATAGTTCATAGACCAAGCCAGGTTTCTGTCAATTCAGTAAGTGTTTGCATTCGCCTAAAATCTTTTTTAGAAAAGCAGAAAACACAATCGGCCGTTTACGATTTTTCCGTTTGTCATTTCAATGCAGTGTTCAAGACACATTTCGTTTTTCATGATATAAAAATTGTTCTTCCGCCGGATATAAGCAAATCTTCTTTCGGCGCCCTACAATTGAGATGATGCGGATCACTTACTGGGAGTTATTTTTCTGTGGTAGGTAGACTTAGAAGATATATCTTTGTATAGAGATACTATGCTACCAAACGGCAGGTCTGATTATGATTGGCACCTGATCTGTGGCTAAGTCTGTGATAGATTTTAATTTAGAGGCTGTGCTGTGGCCCTGTGGCTAAGAGACGAAGACACCACAAGTGCAAGCTATGCGTTCACTGTTACCCATCATTTTTACTCAGTGCAACCCAAGCGATATAACTCACTTAATTATGGCTTCAACATAAATAAAGCTTGGCGGAAGACATTCTGCATGGCAATGAAAACACAATAAATCAAGAAGCAGAAAACATTGCTTTAGTGCAGCTTGAAGACTGTGTTTCAAAATAGGTGGGCAAAGTCTCGATTCATATGGTCTTCCGATTGCACGAAGAGATGCTGCATAGGAAGTAGAGCAAGACTACTGTAGAGAAATCACCTACAATGTAGAAGAACAAAGACAAAGGGCATCGAGAAACCGTGCACTGTTAATATCAGACCAGGAGTATGTATTTATGAGGCAGCGTGGGGGAATCAGGCTCTCGTCAATTTTTGGGCATGTAGAGTTATTGGTATCATCTTAAAGCTTGTTCAGTTGTCTTTATTTTGATGGGAAAAAATGTCCAATTATCTGAATACAAGTCGAGATATTTGCGAAAGAAGGAGGTTGGGGTCACCTGTTTTCAGAGGTAAAATTAGTGAGAAAATGGCCGCCACAGATTAGGTATTTCCTTAGCTTAAGAGTTCGTGGTACCTGAAAATTTACTTTTTTCTGCCTTTAATCAACGCTTTTCAGAAAAATCCACAAAGAAATGAGCTCTTTAATGGGTATAAAAGGTGTTGGGTCAAAAAACATAAAATTGATAAAAATTCACAAACCAGCGGAAAAATGCAAGTTTCTTCACTTTGATTATTTTGACGAGAGCCTGATTCCACCACGCTGCCTCACATTTGACACTTTCATGACAGCTGTCCGGAACAAAGCAAAGGGAACATATTTTCTTGACGCCCATGGCGGTTGCGGGAAAACATTCCTTCTAGAAACCATACTGGCAACAATTCGATCTGAAGAAAGAATTGCAATTGCAACAGCCAGCAGTGGGTTAGCTGCAACACTCATTGTAGAGGGTAGAACTGTACACAGTACCTTTAGATGTAGCTAGATGTGACATACCAATGTGTTCTATCAAGAAGCGGACATCCTTAGCAAGGCTCGTCAATGACTGCAGTGCCATAGCAATTGACGAAGCACCTATTCTGAACAAGGCTGTCTTTGACGCTCTGGATAGGACGTTTCAAGATATTAACTCCACAACAGATACAATGGGTGGCATTCCGGTTCTCTTATGTGGAGAT